AGCTCTAAGGTGTTGGAACCGTCGTATACTGGATTTCTTCAAGGAACTGGTTTCAAAGTAAGCGATGCTGATCCTTGCTTATTTCTAAGGAAACATCAAGGTGGTATTCTGATTGTGGTTTTATATGTTGATTATGGCCTGATTGCCGGATCAAATCAAACTTTATTGGATGAGTTTCTCGAAGAAATGAAGCGTCGTTTTAAAATAACCAGCAAGTTACTTTCTGGGTATTGAAATTGAAACCAGAGAAGGTGGAATTAAGATCTCCCAGACTTCATATACCAATAGAATGATTGAGAGATTTGGTATGCAGAATTGTAGAGCTGTTCATCATCATCATCATCATCAGCCTATACTAGTCCACTGCTGGACATAGGTCTCTCCCGTGGCACGCCACTAAGCACGATCCTCGGCCACTCTCATCCAGCACTTGCCAGCTGCCCTGCGAAGATCATCGACCACTCCACTGAGTCTGTGGACTGAGGTTTTCCGACCTATGGTCTCCACTCAAGAACTCGTCTACTCCAACGGTTATCGGTTCTACGGGTTATATGGCCGGCCCATTGCCACTTCAGCGTGCTAATGCGGTGGGCTATGTCGGTAACTTTGGTTCTCTGTCGGATCACTTCGTAACGAATTTTATCTTTCAGAGAAACTCCGAGCATAGTCCTTTCCATAGCACGTTGAGCAACTTTAAATTTATGGACCAGCCCTACCGTAATTGTCCATTTTTCAGCACCGTATGTCATGACGGGTAGGACGCACTGGTCGAAGACTTTAGTCTTTAGACTCTGTGGAATTGGTGATGTGAAGACCTGACGCAGTTTCCCATACGCTGCCCATCCCAACTGTATTCTTCTGTTGGCCTCTCTTTCGAAGTTGTTTTTACCTAATTGCATAATTTGCCCGAGGTAAACGTACTTCTTAACTACTTCGAGAATGCTGCCTTGAACTGCAATTGGTTCCGGACTTACATGTTCATTGAACATAACCTTGGTTTTATCCAGGTTCATCCGAAGACCAACGCGTTGAGAAGAATCAGCTACGCCGTTCAGCATATGTTGCAAATCTTGTAGCGTTTCCGCCATGTTGACGATATCATCTGCAAATCACAAGTGTGAGAGGTACTCGCCATTTATGTTAATGCCGCGCCTCCTCCAGTCCAGCGTCTTGCAACATATCGTCCAATGCATTTGTGAACAATTTGGGGGATATAACGTCCCCTTGTCTCACACCTCGA